ACATCATTGAGAAATGAAGTTGTGCCTCGGTGTTTCGGAGTTGAGGATAATGTCAAACGGGGTTTCTTTTTACACAGACGACACCAAATTGATGAGTGCTAAAAGATTCATGGTGGTAGAGTAATGAATATTTTCTTAGCGTTGCACGAGAATCCAACACACACTCTGATGAAAAAAAACCAGTAGAGATACTAAAAGTTTTTACGTGAACAACTATTGAAAGAGGAAAAACGCATGGGGTCTGGCCCAGTTGAAGAGATCCACTATAAACTGGACATTATAAGTACGGTCCCTTGTCTCTCATGTGGAAAAGGTTACACAATCTTTTAAGCTACAAAATTGGTGTGCTAATGAACTTGTCGTAACAAGTGAGCGACAATCGATGCTAATTGGCGATGACCAACGGGTGATGATCGGTGGGTGTCAGTGACTGGTACACGCGGAGGTCTGTGATTGGTGGTCGATGCTGATCAACTACTGGGGGTCGACGATGGGTGGTCAGCGATGAAGTGACGCTAGACTTCAGCTTCTTTTCCAAGCTTCAAACTCCCTCACTTTTTAAGAGAACGGAACAACTCTATTTATAGAGTTCCGAGTGCAATTAATACATGAATATGAATCACTTTGATCGAGCTATCTGGAGAGTTTCCTTTGATCAGACGACGTTTAAGGACATTTGAGTGTCTTAACAATGTCAAAATTGAGTGATATTAAGTTTGTCAGATTTTCCTTGTCGAGACGCTCGATTCAATTTTAAGCTCTCATCTGTTTAAATGCAACAGTATAACAAAGTCTTTGATTATATTTTTCACTTGTATTTACTTACTCTATAACAGTACCAAAAATTTGATCCTTGAGAAAATAAGAATTTAACTCTTCAATTTATATATATTAGGATACTGCACAAGTATACGTATCGTATCAAGTAATACAGGACTTTTTGATTAATCCAAAAATATCTAACCCACAGGAATTGTTCACAATATGCACTTTTAAATAGCAAACTTTTTATTTCAAAAAGGCAATTACTGAACTATAAATATTTTCACAGTAGGTAAAATTCAATTCTTTTTGTTCTTTTTTGATATTTTGACAAAACAATAAAAACTTCTAAAGATAACTAGAGTTTATATAAAAGAAAATCACTGAATATGAAAATATCTTTTTTTCTTTATCATGAATCGGTAATAAGTATAAGAATTTTGTTGTGGAAGTATGCAAAATGTGTCGTGCCAAATATGAGCAATATTATTATTTACCCTTACTAGAGGTGCTATAAAGAAAATTGGTTAATTTAAAGTTTGAATAGTTCTGAAGATTGGCTAGGCATTGAAGATACCAGCTCTCACTCTAGAGTTCCCTCGATTTCCTTTACCTGGGGGCTAAGAGCTCGTATTAAAACTTAAAACAATAAACCAAGTTAGTGGCTTCAGCTTGTCACTCTAAAGTCCTCTATCTCTACATCCTTCAAAGATTATTTTCATATTTATTTACACTAATTCATATGAATTACTTTCTCATTCATAAAACTTCATTTCATTCTTTCCAATTGTTGACTAAGACAATATCAGCCAGATTCTTACATGTTCTCACAACAAATTTTAGCTTCTATATATGTCAGATCAAGAAGTAAATGAAGTACATGAAATTAAATCATCACAATTTCTTCCAACATTAAAGATTAATACTCTCCACAACTTCTATCCAACACTTTAATTACTTATTATTTTAAGGAGAAAGATAAAAAAAACTACTTAGAATCCATGGAGAAATAAAATTACAGTTTAGTTCAAAAGTAGAAATCATTGTCAAACCAACAAGAAGTCTTAAATAAAACCAAAAGTTGTTAAAAAAAAAAGATAAAAACTTATCTTAAATCCTTTATCAAACGTAGGCGCCAAAACACTTTTGCACCATTTTTACATTTTTGCTCCAAATTTAATTTTTTCCACTCATTTTAGTATTTTTCACATTTTTACTTGTACCTGAAAGAACAACACACAAATAACTTCCATTAAAGCTCAATATCTCAAAAATAGATATAAAATTGTGTCTAAAAGCACTATATATTTTAGATGTATCACTCGCCCTATTCAACATTTATTTGACCATCAAAATATGTTCACAAAACTTCTAAAAGTAGTTTAATTACATGCTCTGAACTTGATTTGACTGGGATTGAACTTATTTTGGTACCATTGGGGGACTGATTTTGGTACTATTGAGTTTGCATCGTCGTGCCGGTCATTTTGACTATAAATTTGCTGAAATATGAGCTCTGGATGGCTTGTTATTAAGGTTTGAATATTTCTTACTTAAATTATTATCTCGAAATTCATGTCATACCTAGAGATTTGTGTCGGATGATGAAATTTATTTATGTTGTATCACAATGAAAAATATTATACTAGACTAGAATATGCTCCTATTCTATCAAAGCTAACAAATTTAATTTAAAATGATAAAAATAAAATGTTAATCGGACTAAACTCGAAGTTCTTAGAAAAATTCATCTTATTTTTTCTATAAAATTATAACATTTTTAGGGGGCATTTACATGCAGCCACCCAATTCCTATACATTTACATATCGGCACATTTCTTTTATTTTTTACATTTATACCACCCAAGTTTTGCCTATCACATAAAAAATATTACCATTTTAACTTCTGAAAAACGGAATAGTATTTCATTCATACTTTAGGTTGCCTGTATGTAAAAATTGAAGCTTAAAGTGCTTAATATGTAATTACATAGAAATTGATATATATGTATATAAATCTTCCTTATTGTTTTTTATGATAAACAGCATTATCATATATATAGTGTTATAATTAGTAGTACTGTGTGCTACTATATTTATGATAATAAAGTCATCTTAGTAATATACTAGAATTTCATACATACATCAACTTTTGAATAAAAAAAATATGAAAATAAAAATATCATAGAGCCCAATCAAGCTCAAATAATTCTACTAATGTGAGTTTTATAATACAATTTATTTTTTGTTCCGTAATTGGCTAAGGTTTTGAAACTACATAATATCATGTCAACGGGAGATGAAGGCATGATTTTTGATGGCATATGCTCTTTCTATTTGAGATGAAGGGGATTGAAATTGCTAAGGGCAATGGGTGACTACATTATAGTAATCAATATTGGTGTTGACGATATGCATTAATCTTATTGATGACGGCGATTGTCAACATTATTGGGGAAAATTGGCGATAACTTTATCAACATTGGTGGATGACAGGATTATTGTAGATGATGCATGTTGGCTTCAATGGTGATGGAGCGTGATAAATTTATTTGCACCAATTAGTATTGAGATTGTTATTCATCATCAAACGTAGTGTCAATGATACAAACTTCGACAAAGTCAAGCTTAAATCTGGTCGATGAAGGTTGGATCACGAATATCAATATAGAGAAACAGTAGGAGACAACAGTTTTGATGATCATTAGCATTTGCCAGTGAGTTAAGTTTAGGATTCTACAAATATGTAAGCTCCCTCCAGCTCTTGGTATCATTTGTGTAGAGAATGGGAGCTTCTATAAATTTTTGTTGTGACATTTTTTCTTTAGTTTTGCCAAAATTTCTATTGAGATAATCCATTTTGATCCTTATGATTGTTTTATTCTGCTATTGTGCGGGATTCTCTATATGTTATGGCCAAAAATGATCATAAGAAAAAAATTGCTAAAAATTAGAATACATCTGGATAACAAAAAAATGTCAAGTTAAAGGGAACGCAGGCTTCTTTAACAACAAGAAGATATGATTGGAGCTTACCATGACAAAAGTGCTCCCAAATAATTCATTAGCCATTTCAAAACCAAATAATGTTGAAATTGAGAGAACTTAACATCACTGGATTTCTCTCGTTGAGATTTTGATTATAAGCAAACAAGATTTAGATATCATTTGGTTTATCATCACAAAATTTCTAACTAAATAATTTTTAATTCTTGATTTAGAAATATTTTGACTCTAATCAAAACACTTTTGTTATCGTTAAATTTGTCTTATTTAAATTTTCATCTTGATTAAGAGTTTGTACCTAAATTTCTTTATTTTTCGTACACATGTATTAAGATTTATGCTTAACTGGAGGATTTTTCGTGCACCCTATTTACTTCAAAAATACTAAAATTAAATTTAATTGGGGCGATTTCTCACACATTCCATGTTTAGTATATATATATATATATATATATATATATTGGCGATCTCTCTCACACTCCATATATAGTATATATATATATATATATATATATATATTAAATTAACTCAAATATCACAATATAATTGGCATGATTTTGTTATACAACAACAATCACACAAAAAATTTTGTTTTATTGTCTCTCTTTTTTTCAATATAATTATTATAAAAAGAGATCAAAATTTATATGCTTAAAAATGAATTAATGAATTTAAAACATATTTTAATCGAAAATTCGATCATGTGAGGTTACGTGTCATTACGGATTCAACTGAAGTAGAAAATTACATTAAAAAAATATGAAGACTTGCATCACATCACAATTTTTATGTATTTTCATATTTAATACTAAAATTTAATATTTTACATTTATAATACAGCTACGCATCAAAATATCTATTTTAATAAAGAAATCTTTTGAGTGGCATGGAAATTTTCCATATTATAAACATATAAAAATTGGAAATTTAGAGGTTTGAGATATATAATATATTATAATGGTATAGTATGAAATTTACATATATATCCCTTTGTCCTTATATTATTTCTATATTTATCCCCTTTTGTTCATTCATTAAATTTTTTACATAAAAAATTTGACCCTCCACCAAAACAAACGAAACACCGCATAAATAAAGAAAGCAGGAGATAAAAGCAAGTGCACTGAGGAAAAAGCCAAGGAATAGGAAGAAGATTGGAAATCTACTTCCCAATAAAATGAATTAAGAATTGTATTAATCATTTTAAACCACCAACAAAACTTCAACTTTTGAAAGTGAAAGCAGAGCGATGAAGAATTAGGGCAGAGGAAAAGAAAAAGCAAATCCTTTGCCCTTAACCCAATGCCCCTAAAGGCATCTACCCTTTAACCCCCAGCTTGTCCTTTTGCCCGTACAGACCCGTGCTTTCTCCTCCACATGCCTCTGCACCTCCCCCACTCTCCACTCCCACTTGTTAAATAGCTCCCCCCTCACCCTTTCCTCCCTCCATCTCCATCGCAGCTTTCTTCTTCTTCTTCTTCATCATTTTCTTCTTCTACACTGTTCTTTGTCTTTGGGAAATGGCTTTGAAGAAGACGAGCAAGTTGTCGCAAGCGGCGGTTTTGAAGCAGATACTTAAGAGATGTTCGAGCTTGGGGAGAAAACAGGGGATGGGTGGTGGAGGAGGGGAAGAGGAAGGGCTGCCTCTTGATGTTCCAAAGGGGCACTTTGCAGTTTATGTGGGCGAGAAGAGGAGCAGATTCATCGTCCCCATCTCTTTTCTAACTCACCCTGAGTTTCAAACTCTGTTGCGGGCTGCTGAGGAGGAGTTTGGTTTTCACCATGATATGGGCCTCACGATCCCCTGTGAGGAAGTTGTCTTTCGTTCCCTGACTTCCATGCTGAGCTAACGAGCGGAAAGAGTCTTGGGTCTTCTTCTGTCTCCGTGATGCTATTCTGCGGGGGATGCTATTCTGCGGAGGGGAGAAGACTGCTTCATGATTTCTTCTCTGTTTTCCCCTGTTTCGGATATATTATTGTTTTATTTTTCTATTTTTTAAATGTTTTCTATTTTTTGAATGATTTGTGGACGGTTTTTAACTAATTAGCTGAGGAGATTCATTCTGGGTTGGATTTGTAAATTGCAGGTGGCGTGTGGTTTTTGCGCCCTGTGAGATGTAATATGGGAGTAAAAGAGTTGAAAAATCATTCTCCTCTTGTTATTTCTCAGTTTTCTATCTCTCTCTGTTTTGAGCTCTGTTTTGTTTTAGGTGATAAGGTTGCGAATTTGTGAAGACTTGTAAGGGAGTAATTTGTTTTCATTGATATTGCATATTGTTTGAAATTATATTGATGTAAAACTATTTTTATGTAATTACACTTTCATCCATTTAATGGAGCTTTCAGTTTCTTAATTATTTGATTTTGGCCAACTTCAGTCCTCATTTCTTTTTCAGCTCTGTTTGCTTGTAGTAGATGGCAAATTTAAAACTGTTACTATCATGTAATTTATTATTTTCATTTGTATTTGTTTTATTATTTTGATTACGTATGATTTAAGCCAGTTTTATGGTGTTTATATGATTGGTGTTTGATTAATAATTTGAAAATATAAATGATTTGATTTCACCTATTATGTAATGAGAATTCGGATTGAAATTTGACTACATGATTGAATTATTATCTCATTTTAGATCCTCTTTTTATAACACATTAAATATTGATTTGATTAGTGGTTAATGAAGGTGGTTAGTGTAAGAATGAATGGGATTAGTCAATGATTAATTATGTTGGATGATTTGGAGGATCGAATGTCTAAGCAGCTGTTTCGGTTACTTTAAAACGGGAAATGGATGGAGGTTGAATAATTTAAACAGGCTTTATTTGATATGGTTAAGGAGCATGTGCTGCGATGTTGAGGATTTAGATACGTACCATCCAACTAATTCATATGTAATTTTAATTTTATTAAAAATTTTACATTCATAGCACTTACTTTTTATGTATTAAGGCATCTAACACCAAAACTTATATATATATATTAGTGTATTATACTTTTTTTTTAATTAAAATTGTGATATTTTTTTAGTATTGTACACCGTAAATATGTCAACATATCTTGAGGAGATCTAAACATTAGAGTACAATAAAAGAAAGCCCATCAACAAAAAATCATGAGGCCTATGAGCCGATCAATGCAACCGTTCGAGCCTAGGCCGAAACTGACTAGATGCAGCTGTCTAAGCCAAGGCAGAAGACGACTGAGTAGAGTTGTTTGAGCTAAAGCCAAAACCAACCAAGCTACGCGTATGACAAAAAGATGGCCAAAGAATTTAAGCCCAAACCTTCAAATTGAAACTAGACAAATAGACAATTGAGCCAACCACTGCAAGAAAACAAATCAACTGCAATTGCCTACCTTCCATTATATTCAATATGTGGATAGATGTGCTTCCATAATATCTCCAACCGTCACATACATCCCCGAGGATCTTCATAAGAGATAAAAGAGTAACAATGCAACAAAGTGTCTTATAGTCATTCGTCAAACTCACCTCGTTGACTGGTTAGCTATCTATCGGGTTACAGTAATTCACTCTCTACTCGATAGTCCATTGTCGCTCTGCTGATAGGAGTTCTTCAGCGGAGATTGAAGATTGACAATCAGACTAGATCAATCGATCGACAATGCTTACTAAGGCTAACGAACCAAATTAGTTTTGTAGACAAAACCAATCGAGCTCAGCTAATCAAAAACATCGAATAAGCCTAGTTGACCAAAAAGGCTTTGTCGAGCCGAATCTGAACAAGCCCAACTGAACGGCCAAAGTAGTCATGCAATAGCCTCGTGTATGTAAAAACCTGGAATATCTTGTATGACACTCATTAAAGTAAGAGCATAAAAGGTAACATCATCATATTCTACGCTCTCTCTCCTATAAATAAATAGATCATTCCATGTCCAACTTATAGCCAAAATTATCCAAAGAGATAGGGAAATGTCAACACAATTGATATGCTCTCTGTCTCGTATTCTCTCATTTCTTACACTCTATTCCTTAAAATGTAGAATAAAGTGGGGTTCACGGATAAATCAAGATTCAACATGTATATAAATCATTTGGATGGTATATATATATGTAAAAAAAATAAAATGTGTCTTAGATATATTAATATAGTATATAAAAATTTGGTGTTATGTGTCGAAATGCCCCACTTTAATTCTATATATAAAATATTGTAAAGTTGTACTTTCACGTTTTAAAAATTAAAAATATCTATATATTTACGTGGCATTAAAGCTTTGAATTTTATAAATATAAAAAGTAAAATTTGGAATGTATAATTCATAAGAATTAGATGGTATGTATGTTAAGGCCCCGATTTGCAGTTCGGATCAAGAGTAGATTTAAATTCTATGAAATAATGACGATGCGGTTATCCAATTAGACAAAATCAGAATACCCTCTTCGTTCTCCTTCTCCTTCTCCTTCCAGAATCTCAACCACTGACAATTCCCAATGTCTGGCGCAAGCAATTCACCGGTTCCCTCACGCGTGTCCAATGGGCAAAAGCCAGAAACATTAAGAAAATCATGTAATGAGCTGATTATGAATGAGGCGTCATACAATGTTGGACCGGACGTGTTGTCGTCGCTCTCTGACTCCATGGGATCTTCTCCTCAATGTTCCTATTCAAATTCCGCTATCCTTATTCCTCCCGCTCTGAATCATACTTCTTATACTAGCAGTAATGCTGGTGTATTTCTTAATGGCTTGCCTTCGACAACGCTAGGTTTGCCAAATGAGAGCCAGCAACTTTATTATAAAGAAGAAATCGACAGTGTAAATTTCAGTGGAGGCGACACCCGCAGCCAGGGCGAGCATGGTTACCAGTACGATCAGAATCATCATCATGAGCAGTGGTCGAACTCTTATCGAGGTCCGGGTGGTTGTATGCCTCCATGCATGCAAATCCCTCGAGAGCAACCGCGACCTTACATGGTATCGACGATCTCTCCGCCCGAGGCGACACCCGCAGCCAGGGCGAGCATGGTTACCTTACATGGTATCGACGATCTCTCCGCCCATGGATCCAATGTTCATTAATATTGTCTTTCCCTCCAACTACTACAGTACTTATGAAGTCCCCAATGACGTTCCTTATAAGATTCTACCATCATTTTATCAATTAAGATGCAAATCAATTTCTAAGATTGCTGCTTAAATATTCTTATATGGTTTTGCAGATTTTTCATTTGATGCATATAACAATTCAGCTCGCCCTCAGCTTCAATATTTGTGTGGATCATCTTTTATTTCTTTTCAAAGATTTTATGCAGCACTGCAATCAAATTTTTATTTTTTGCTCGTTAATCTGCGAGCGAACTTACAGAAACAGATTGAGTACTATTTCAGGTATGCTTGTTATATTATTGTTTTTGAATTTTAAAATGACTCGATAATATGTATTAATATTGTGTTGCACTTATTTTGATTTCTGCAGTTCGGAGAATTTGCACACTGATTATTACTTGAAAAAAACACATAGATGACCACGGTTGGGTTCCAGTAATGTTGATTGCACAGTTTAAGAGAGTGAGTAATTTTGGTTTGCATATTATTTTATCCGTCTAGTTTAGCCATTTTTTTTCTCTTATATAATTCTTAGAAATTATTTGTTGTCATACTATATAGGTTTGAAAACTAATGAACAAAAGAAAATTCATTTATGATTCTTTTAGATTGTGGAGTTTCATTGAAGTGCAGGTAAATATGAATACCGTTTACCAAATAAAATTAATTGTTTAGATCTATCAGAAATTTTTTTTTTTTGCAATAAAATGATTTTTCTTATAGAGGTTGGGATAATTATTACCATAATTATTGTCTTTTTTTATTGTGAATTCAGCCTTAGAAATTATTTGTTGCTGCGTTGCAGGTTAAGCCGTTAGCTAGCAACATGCAGTTCATATTGAATTCTTTAAGACTTTCATATGTTGTGGAAGTGCAGATAAATAATATTTAATTGTCTCATTCAATACTGCATTTTCTTTTTCTTTTTTCAGTGAAAATTGAGAACTAAATTATATGAATCATAAGGACTAAAAGAAGAAATTTGATTCCAATATCTTGTGCAACATAAGATAATATTTTCATATACATTTTCATATTCCTATTTATTAAGAGAATTATTGCATTAAATATTTTGATTTGCAAAAAGAATGCATGTTTCAATTCTATTATTTACGTGACAATTTCTTATTTACATGCAGGGTGATAAAGTGAGAAAACGACATGAATGAGAGAAATGGGTATCCCACTAATAAACCTCTACTCGTTCCAGTGTATGAATCTCTGAGAAAAATTGTGCGGTTGGAGGATTTAGATGATAAAAAAATTATTGGGCTAGAGTTCGTTATTAAGATTTTATCAGGATGAAAATCAAAATTATATAATTTATTTGATATGAGTGTAATACATACATGCCACATGACCCTCAAATCTTTGATATCACATCGAAAGTATCACTAATATTACTTTTTTTTTTTGGAGATTTACATACCAAGCTATCATACAAAGTATCATCCTTCTAAACACAATTAAGGACTAGGTGGTAAGTATGTAAATGCCCCAAATTTTTTTTAAAGTGTAATGCCTTTTTTCACGAATGTGTATTGATGAGAATCATGATCATAACAATAATGTTTGTTATTTTATTTACGTGAAGAACAACACTGTTGTATTAAATATGTAATTACATAAAAAATATGTGGTATGTATGCAAATCTCAAAAAATAAGTTTAATAATTTTGATATTTTTCCTGATTAAAAATTTTATAGAGATTACTTTTGCCCAATTTTCTTTCAAAATTCAAACCACGAGATTCAACCGATAGAACGAGTACATTTTGATGATATTCAGAGGCTTGGAAACCTATTCAACACTGGAACATCATAAATGTTCACAAACAAAGGAAGAGCTTTTGGGAGACTAATTGTAGTAACTGTATTGCAAGTAAAAAAAAAACAATTACGCTACTTATATGTTTTGGAGACGTACAATTTGGATTATGTTAGTTAGGTTATATAGTCCTTTACAATTATGCCTAAACAAGGTAGCAGAAATCGACTTACACAATAGCGTGGTGCGACCTATTCCGACATCCGGGCATCTAGACTGTTTTCTTTTCTACCGCGGGGCTATAGTGTTATATGCTATTTTCTTTTACATATGTTGTATTTTTTTTATTTTTTTGTGATTATTTAGAAGTTGGGGGTAATTTCTCATAATATTTTTGTATGCTAGCCCTTGAAATTATTTGTTTGACTATCATTTATAGAAGTTCTTTAATGTGACTTATTAGATTCCAAATTCTCCATCCCTCTCTCCCTCTCTCTCTCTCTCTCTCTCTCTCTCTCAATGGTTCCAAAGTCATTAGATTAAAATTTGAGTTTACGATCATTTTTAACGAGATTCTAATCAATCGACTGATAGAACAAAAAATAACGATGTCATTCAAGTACCAAAAGTAAGTATTTTCATATGAGGTAAACTTTTGGAAATATTTTCCCAAGAAATGAATCATTATGGATATATATATATTTATTTATTTATTTTTATTTTTATTTATATGCATGGTATTTGAAAATACCACTTGCCACCCTAAATGCACCAAACACATAAGTAAATGACTCGAATTCAAGTCATAAATTTTGAATGTTCGGTCTTTTACAATATATTACATGATTGAAAAAAAAAACAAAAATTTGAAATTCACGTCCTAAAGTGAAATATGAAGTTAATCCATAAACTAGTCAATCCTTGATAGGGGTGTAAACGAGTCGAGTTCAAGTCATACCTAACTCAAACTCTACTCATTTGTCAAAGTTCAAGCTTCAGCTCAAGCTCGAGCTTGGTTTGTGTTACTACTAATAGCAAACTCATGAGCTAGCTCGCGAGCTTTAATGAAATAGCCATGCGGGCTCACTGGAGAAGCAATCAAAGTGATCAAAAGCTGAAGAGAAAATAAGTATTGTAATTGTAACAGCTGAACTCATAAGAAATTGACATGATCAAATTCAAACTAGTCAAGTCGATCGCGAGCTAAAGAGTTGAGCCTCGACAAGCTCAACTCATGAACTTGTTAACCAGTCAAGTTTGAACGGACTTGGCTCACTTACACTCTAACCCTTTGTTTTTAAACTTTTTAAAGTGATGGATAAACGAGCCCAATGATCAGCAAATTAACTAATTAATTTTTTTTATCATTTCTTATCATAAAATCAAAATCTGAAATATTTCCTCTTAAAAAATATATTTTACATTTTTTTTCTCTCTAAAAACCAATATCTCTTCCAAAAATCTCCGCAACAACAAACATATTTTGATAAAATTTACTTAAAGACCACTCAATTTTTATGTAATTACACATCAAATGCTTAACCTTCAATTTTTAAATACATATCAACTTACCTATGTATAAAAGAATTTCACATTTTAAAAATTAAAATAAAAAAAAATTTTTTTTTTGATACGAAAAATTTTGGCTGGTATAAATTTAAAAAATAAAAGTGAGGAGTTAACATGTTCACCTTTCAAATTGAAAGAGGCAAAAAGACATTTAAGTCAATTACTCCAAAAAAAGACCAGATGCAATAGCCTACCTTCCATTATATTTGATCCCTGGAAAGATGTAGTTCCATAATATCTCCAAACTTCACAGAAGTCTCTGAGGGTCCTCATTAGAGATTAAAAGCTTAACAATACAACAAAGAGTTATAGTCATACGTCAAACTGATCTCCTTAACTCGGGAGCTATCCATCGGGTTACGGTAAATCACCATATGTTTGATAGTCCATTGTCGCTCTGCTAATCGGAGTTCCTCAGTGGAGATTGAGGATTGACAATCAGACTGGATCAGTCGATCGACAATGCTGACCAACGCTAACTAACCAAATTAGTTCTGTTGACAAAACCAATCGAGCTCAGTTGATCGGAAAAGCCGACAAAGCGTAACTCACCAAATAAGCCCTGTCCAATCAAATCTGAACAAGCCCAACTAAATGAGCCAGAATTGCCACACAATAGCCTCATATATGTAAAAAGCTAGAATATCTCATATAACCCTTATTAAAGTATGAGCATAAATGTAGCATCATCATATTATGCTTTCTCTCCACTATAAATCGAGAGATTATTCCATGCCTAACATATAACCAAAGTTAACCAAAGAGATAAGGAAATGTCAACACAATTGATATGCTTTACTGTTCATTATTATTCAGAGTTTTTTCTGTCTCTCACTCTCTCCTTTCCTACACTATATTCTTCAGGGTGTGGAATAGAGTGTGGTTCACTGATAAATCAGGATTCAACACATATATAAAACATTTGGGTGGCACATATATGTAACAAAATAAAGTTTGTGTTAGATAAATAAATATAATGTATAAAAATATGGTGGTTTGCGTCGAAATGCCCAACTTTTATTCTATATTTATAGTATTGTAAGGTTGCACTTCCACCTTTTCAAATATAGAATATCAATATTTTTACGTTGCATTAAAGCTTTGAATTTTATAAATATAAAAAGTAAATTTTGGGATATATTTAGATGGTATGTATGTAAAGACCCTGATTTGCGGTTCGGATTAGGCGCAGATTTAAGTTCTATGAAATTGTGAGGATGCCGTTATCCGTGAATTGGTAAAAGGATAAAAATAAAGGGGGTTCAAAATAACTTTGTCCCTCAGCCACTCATGCTCCACGTGCTACTATCGTGGCTAATAATAACCTCTTTTGCGGAGGACCAACCATAGAATGTCGAAATTTCCTCTATAAATTTGACGGCGAACAAAGAAAGTTGCCAACCAGGGCGAAACTAATAAATAAGAATTCCCTTTTTGTTCTCTTCTCCCCTTCTCCATCCCCTTCTCCTTCCAAAATCTCACCACCGACTTCCCAATGTCAGGCGCGAACAATTCACCGTTCCCCTCAGACGTGTCTCCAACCAGGGCGAAACTAATAAATAAGAATTCCCTTATTGTTCTCTTCTCCCATTCTCCTTCTCCTTCTCCTTCCAAAATCCCACCACCGACAATTCCCAATGTCAGGCGAGAACAATTCACCGTTCCCCTCAGGCGTGTCCAATGGGCAGAAGCTGACAACATGGAGAAGACCATGTAATGAGCCAATTACCAATGAGTCGTCAGCCAATGTTGGATCGGACGTGCCGCCATCACTCCCTGACTCTATTAGATCTTCTTCCCAATGTTCCTATTCAAATGCCGCTCCCCCGGTTCCTCCCACTTTGAATCATAATTCTGATACCAGCAGCAATGCTCGTGTTTTTCAAAATGATTTACTTTCAAACTCGCTACGTTTGCCAAATGGGAGCCAGAAACCTTATCACAAAGAGGAAATCAACAATTTAAATTTCAGTAGAGATGACACCCACAGCCAAGGCGGATGTGGTTACCTGTACAATCAGGATCGTCGTCATGAGCAGTGGTCGAACTCTTATCGAGGTTCAACTGGTTGTATGCCTCCATGCATGCAATTCTCTAGAGAGCAACCGCGACCTTATATGGTACCGATGATCTATCCGCCTATGCATCTGACGTTCATTAGTAATGTCATTCCCTTCAATTGGTACAGTACTTATGAAGTCCCCAATGTCATACCAGGTAAGATTCTATCGTCATTTTTTTAATTAAATTACAAATCAATTTCTAGGGTTGTTGTTTAAATATTCTTATCTGGTTTTGCAAATTTTTCTTTGGATGCATATAATAATTCAGTCTGTCCGCAACTTCAATATTTGTGCTGGCCAAATTTTATCCCTTATCAAGGATTTTATGCAGCGCTGCAATCAAATTTTTCTTTTTTGCTGCTTAATCTACGGGCTAACTTGCGGAAACAGATTGAGTACTATTTCAGGTATGCTTGCTATATTGTTGTTTTAAAATTTTAAATGTGTCGATAATATTTATTAATATTGTGTTGCACGTATTATGATTTCTTCAGTTCGGAGAATTTGTACACCGATCATTACCTGAAAAAGCAAATGGATGATCACGGTTGGGTTCCAGTAACTTTAATTGCACAGTTTAGGAGAGTGAGTAATTTTGATTTTTTATTATTTATTCTGTCTAATTTGGCCTTTTTTAACTTATAAAATTCTTATGAAATTATTTGTTGTCATATTATATAGGTTCAACGATTAATGGACGAAAGACAATCCATATATGATTCTTTCAGGCTCTGGAGCTTCATGGAAATGCAGGTAAATATGAATATTATTTACTGAAAATTAATAGCTTGCATCTAGAAGATTTTTTTGCAATAAAATGATTTTTCTTATCGAGTTTGGGATAATTATTACCGTAATTATTGTCTCTTTTTTATTGTGAGTTCAGCCTTAGAGATTATTTGCTGTTGTGTTACAGGTTATGCCGTTAGCCGACGATATCCAGTTCATATTGGATTCCTTAAGGCTTTCATATTTTGTAGAAGTGCAGGTAAATAAGATTTAATTGTTGCATTCAATTCTACATTTTTGCATTTTTTCCATGAAAATTGAAAACTAAATAATATGAATCATAAGGACTAGAAGATAAAAATTTGGTTCCAATATTTTGTGCAACATAAGATAATATTTTCAAGTACATTTTCATACTCCTATTTATAAAAGAACTATTGCATTAAACATTTTGATTTGAAAGAAGAATGCATGTTTCAATTCTATAATTTATTAAGCAAATTTTTATTTACATGCAGGGTAATAAAGTGAGAAAACGGCATGAGTGGGATAAATGGGTATCACACTCATAAACTTCTACTCGTTCCAGTGTATGAATCTCTGAGAAAGTTTGTACGGTTAGAGAATTTCAATGATAAGAAAATTATTGGGTTAGAATTAATCATTAAGATTTTATCAGGATGAAAATCAAAATTTTGGAATTTATTTTGATATGAGTGTAATACATACATACCACATAACCCTCAAATCTTTGATATCACATCAAAAGTATCACTAATATTAGTTTTTTTTTTTTTTTTTGGAGATTTACATAGCTACCATACAAAGTTCTGTGCATTAACATCTCATCTATCTAAACTTCAATTTTTACCTACAGACCACTCAACAAATTCTGAAAACATAGGAAATCTGTATGTAAAAATTGAAGTTTGGATAGTTGTTATGTTATATATAAGAACTAGGTGGTAAGTATGTTATTTTATTCACGTAAATATCAACATTTTAGTATTAAATATGTAATTACGTAAGAAATATGTGGTATGTATGCAAATCTGAAAAAATAAGTTTAATGATTTTGAGATTTGTCCTGATTAAAAATTTTATGGAGATTATGTTCGCCTAATTTTCTTTCATAATCCAAGACATGAGGTTCAACCGACAAACAAATACAATTTGATGATATTCAAAGGCATGGAAACATATTCAACACTGGAACATCATAAAGTAATTTTAGTAACTTTATTGCAAATAAAAGTACAATTATGCTACTTATATGTTATGGAGACATACAATTTGGGTTATGTTAGCTGGGACATATAGTCTTTTTTCAATTATGCCTAGACAATGTCGCACCAATCCGCTAATACAATGGCGTGGTGAGATACACTCTGACATCTAGACATATAAATTGTTTTCTCTTTTACCACGGGGCTATAGTGGTGTATGTTATTTTCTTTTGCATTTGTTGGCATTTGTTTTTGTTTTTTTTTTTTTTTTTTTTTTTGTGATGATTCAAGAGTTGAGGGCAAATTCTCAGAATATTCTTATATGCTAGCCCTTGAACTTATTTGTTGGGCTATCATTTATAAAAGTTCTTAAAGTTCGCTAATCTCTATCTCTCTCTTAATGGTTTAAAGTCAATGGATTAAAATTTGAGTTTACAATCCCTACTTTGTTTTTAACTATATTTCAATCTATCGACAGATAGAACAAAAATCTTCATATCATTGAAGTGCAAAAATCAAATTAACAAATTTGTATAATTTGTAACATTTTATGATATTTGAAGCCAATTTTGATGTCTAATTATTTTCAATTAATTGTTGAAATTTAATATATATATATATATATATATGTATATTATTTTATATAATCTTTGTGTCAAAAGAAACTATATGTGTCTCTAGTACAATTATATTGAAATTGGGTGATTGTTGTCTTGTCGCCTGTATTTTACTTAAAACGTTTCATGACACAGCAGCACCGCCGCCTCAAGCGAAAGTCGCTCCTCGGCCTGAAGGCCACCCCAAACACGGCCTAATGGCGGGCGTAGAGACTTTTCACTGCAAAAATATATAATTTTTTTAATTTATTTAATGTCATCAAAATATGAAACAGTTGATGAATGGAAGTGAGCCGGATTCAATGATTGTGCGGTCCTTTTGATATGCAATCAATACCGTCCATCATAAGCACTTTATGTCTTCTTTAACTCTCCTCCATGGCAGTAAAGCTATGAAAATAAAGTTGCCAAAATGAGCCCAAACTTATATATATGATTCGAGATAGACATTAGAAGGTCATAAAGGCTTGAAGCTGCTTTTTACTATCATATCGTCATCCTATATATATATATATATAGCCTAGGCATGTTTCGTAGATATTTGTTTATGGATTTCAAAAACCCACAGAAGATGAGTATGAGGAGCTTCACTGTACATTTTCAGTAAATTCAAGTTAGTTTATTATTTTATTTTTAAATATTTGACTTTTAATTATTTTTTTCTTAACTGCTCCTCGATAGCCATGTCTATACTAAATCATGATTTAGGGCTGCAAAAATTGACCTAGCATGCTAATTTGATCCAACCCTACTTCAAAAATTGGAGTTCGAGTTGACTTGAATTATATTCGCTTTGGGTTCGTGTTATGAGATCTAGCATGTTTAATTTTTTTGGTTCGGGTTCTGGTTAACCGCCAATTCGAATTGACCTAGAACTAACTGAAAATGGATTTGAAAGCAACCTGCAAGCCCCATAAGCATCCCGATATTGATTACAAATTAACCTAAATTTGACTCGATGTTGACCTAAATAGTTGTTATGTTTTATGTTAAAAAGTTATACATGACATTTCAGGTCTGCATGTTTAAGGCGGGTTGGGTTGAATTCTTCGACCTATTTAACTTTCGAGTCAGGATCGAGTCAAACAATTTATGATCCGGTCAATTATCGTGAACACGATTTGACGCCCCTACGAAGAGCATTATAAAATGAAAAAAATTTAATTACTACTATCAAGAAATTATTTGTTGATTCTTGCTTACCGTTGTTGAAAGGTGTTCTAATAATTATTTTTTTCATTATTTTATTTTGTAGCTTAGTAGATAATTCATTTCTAAGAGCATTTAATATATAATTTATGATGTTCCAGTGTTGAAAAATGACCTTATATTCCAGTGTTGCAAGTAAAAAAAACAATTATGCTACTTATATGTATTGGAGACGTACAATTTGGATTATGTTAGTTAGGTCATATATTCCTTTACAATTATGCCTAAACATGGTCGCAGAAATCGACTTACACAATAGCTTGGTGCGACATATTCCGACATCAGAGCATCTAGACTGTTTTCTTTTCTACCGCGGGGCTATAGTGTTATATGTTATTTCTTTTACATATGTTGTTTTTTTTGTGATGATTTAAAAGTTGGGGGTAATTTCTCATAATATTTTTGTATGCTAGCCCTGGAACTTATTTGTTTGACTATCATTTATAAAAGTTCTTTAATATGACTTATTTTATATCCCACTCTCCCCCTCTCTCTCTCTCTCTCTCTCTCTCTCTCTCTCTCTCTCTCTCTCTCTCTCTCTCTCTCTCTCTCAATGTTTCCAAAGTCATTAGATTAAAATTTGAGTTTACGATCATTTTTAACGAGATTCTAATCTATTGACAGATAGAACAAAAAATAATGATGTCATTGAAGCGAATGCAGCTCTGGCTAAGCCCATAAAGCTATAGTGTATTAAATTATTTATATGATAAGACTTGTAAGAGTAAGATATGGTCAATGCCGGAAGATGCACATATTAAATTAGTAGTCCTTATTAATAAGAATAAGAAATTATTCCACATTAAATTTTATTATATATAATAATAATAATAATAATAATAATATTAGTGATCCACTGAATTAGATAATAATAATAATATAATAATAATTATAATAATAATAATAATATATATATATATATATATAATAATTATTTATTTATTTTTATGCGTGGTATTTGAAAATACCACTTGCCACCCTAAATGCACCAAACACATAAGTAAATGACTCCAATTCAAGTCATAAATTTTGAATATTCGGTCTTTTACAATATATTATATGATTGAAAAAAAAATACATAAATTTGAAATTCACGTTCTAAAGTGAAATAAGAAGTTAATCCATAAACTAGCCAATCCTTGATAGGGGTGTAAACGAGTCTAGTTCAAGTCATACCTAACTCAAGCTCTACTCATTTGTCAAAGTGCAAGCTTCAGCTCAAGCTGGAGCTTGGTTTGTGTTACTACTAATAGCATACTCACGAGCTAGCTCGCGAGCTTTAATGAAATAGAAATGCGAGCTCGCTGGAGAAGCAATCTAAGTGATCAAAAGCTGAAGAGAAAATAAGAATTGTAATTGTAACAGCTGGACTCATAAGAAATTGACATGATCAAATTCAAACTAGTCAAGTCGATCGCGAGCTAAAGAGTTGAGCCTCGACAAGCTCAACTCATGAACTTGTTAACCAGTCAAGCTTGAACCGATTTGGCTCACTTACACTCTAGCCCGTTGTCTTAAAACTTTTTAAAGTGATGGATAAATGAGCCCAATGATCAGCGAATTAACTACTTAAATTTTTTTATCATTTCTTATCAAAAAATCAAAATCTGAAATATTTCCTCTTAAAAAATATATTTTACATTTTTTTTCTCTCTAAAAACCAATATCTCTTCCAAAAATCTCCGCAACAACAAACATATTTTGATAAAATTTACTTAAAGACCACTCAATTTTTATGTAATTACACATCAAATGCTTAACCTTCAATTTTTAAATACATATCAACTTACCTATATCAACTTTCCTATGTATAAAAGAATTTCACATTTTAAAAATTAAAATGAAAATTTTCTTTTTTTTTTTGATACGAAAATTTGACTGGTATAAATTTAAGAAATTAAAGTGAGGAGTTAACATGTTCCCCTTTCAAATTGAAAGAGGCAAAAAGACATTTAAGTCAATCACTCCAAAAAAGAAGACCAAATGCAATAGCCTACCTTCTATTATATTCGATCCGTGGAAAGATATAGTTCCATAATATCTCCAAACGTCACAGACTTCTCTGAGAGTCCTCATTAGAGATTAAAAACTTAACAATACAACAAAGAGTTATAGCAATACGTCAAATTGATCTACATAACTCGCGAGCTATCCGTCGGGTTACGGTAAATCACCATATGTTCAATAGTCCATTGTTGCTCAAACAATCGGAGTTCCTCAGCGGGGATTGAGGATTGACAATCAGACTGAATAAGTCGATCGACAATGTTGACCAAGGCTAACTAACCAAATTAGATCTGTTGACGAAACCAATCGAGCTCAGCTGATTGGAAAAGCTGACAAAGTGTAGCTCACCAAATAAGCCCTGTCGAATCGAATCTGAACAAGCCCAACTAAACGAGCTAGAATAGCCACACAATAGCCTCATATATGTAAAAACCTATAATATCTCGTATAACCCATATTAAAGTATGAGCATAAATGTAACATCATCATATTATATTTTCTCTCCACTATAAATCAAGAGATCATTCCATGTCCAACATGTAGCCAAAATTAGCCAAAGAGATAAGGGGATGTCAACACAATTGATGTGTTTTACTGTTCATTATTATTCAATGTTTTTTGTCTCTCACTATCTCCTTTCCTACACTATTTTTTAGGGTAGGGCTGTCAATTTGAC